GAAAAACTCCCTCTTTCGGTAGTTTGCAGCATTGGATTTTAATGGTCCTTGTGCTCAGAGACGTAGCAAGAGGGCTCGGTCCGCTCCGGACGGCATGTGATAGGGGCGGAGTTTTATTTTACTACCGTTGATCTTTCGATAACAAATATAAACGGTAGAATTTCCAGATAAGCTGGGGGTTGCATATTTTTAGGTTCCTCTGTATGATCAACAACACCTTAGCGCCATGTGTCACACCTGTTTAAACGTTCTTCCCATCGATCCCCTTAATTGTCCCATTGTGGCCACATTCACCATATTTACCTGTGTCCCAAACTATCATTCGTTTCATCGAGAACTAATGTATACATTGACCTGAGCCGATTGTGTGGCCTTTACGCGCCTATCATGCCCTCATCAGGGCGAAAATTTTACCACTGTCCAAGGGAGCAAAACCAGTCGCTAGGCCACTGGTTATGCCTTGTAACCGTCCAGGTGTTTGACTGACTGTGTGGCTCGAGCTCTTGCATTTTCGCTGTGTGTCGAACTGCTACGCTGCTCTCGCTTACCTATTGTCTTTTCCATATAGTTCTTTGCAACGCACGTGAGATCCAACCGCTCTTAGCGTTCTACGCACTTTTGCACTTGGCATGCCTGTTATATGTTGTCGCTCGCGACTAGTATCTGAGTAGAACCTCATAGGTTTCGGTGCCAACTAATAGAGCTGAGTCGTGAGATCGTGTCATGATGAAGAAATTTGACGATTTCAATGTCACCGATTATATTCAGATTCGCAGATGTTGCAGCATCTACCATAGGTCATTCTCCGAAGTTTTAGCAAAATCCCGATTAGACGGACATAAAAAACTTAATTTACCTGTACAATGACCTATGGTACGTCAGTCGTTCCTTATTTATCAAATATTCTGACTGCTCAGTATCTAGTAAATCAGAAAACTGATGGGTAACCTACATCAATGATTTTTGCACGTTCAGCCTTCCTTAAATAACTTCCGTTTTACACTTATCCCTTTGTAATATTCTATTTCACTAGATATCCATGTTTAGGGCGTGTGTGTTGCATCTGAATATTCACTCTACTTGGCTGCATGGGACACTTTCTTGATTTAAGTTGAACACACATTTATGGTTGCTACCAACCAGGATCTAACTGCAGCAAGTGATTGCGTGATGAAGCAACATTTTTCTAATCTAAAAGAACCTTCGGTATGTCGAGGAGACGTAATGGCTTACTCTTTAGGGCGGAAGAACTATTTTTCTCTTATTCCGTTAACTTAAACCGTTGATCATATCGTTAACAATCGTGAGGTACAAAGTTAATATGTGCAAGCCTGTAATGTTAAGCGTTTACACAATTTTTGACACCATTGATTGTAAAACGTTTACTGGGAAACTGACAGCAAATTACAACGCACCTGTCGGTCGGTTGCTGCCATGTGAACGGCGCCTGGGGGACCGCATTAATACGATATGTTCCCATTGGTAACTGATGTAGATTGGTCAGTTTAGTTTCTGACCGCCAGATTTTCCTCCCCAGCACAAACGTTCGTCACCCTCGCCTCCACTATGTCACCTGGCGTCCTCCATCACTAACCCAGCGCTGATTACATATTGGTCACATAGCCGTAAGTCGCAGGTGGCGTGCCACCATGAGGTATCACCGATCATGTTTGTTAACTTGTGTTCAGACCGAGCACGCTTGGTGTGTGTTTGTGTGTATGTGTGCTACACTTTGCATGAATTTGGGTGGCTCCATTAGGGTTAACCAACACGTATTGAACACGTTGCAAATTGGAAGACTTAGTGGGTCAAATGGAGTATCAACAGAGGCCTCAGGAAACCGCGTTCGCTCCAATTTTTTAGATGCTGTCCAGCATTCGTTAGCTTGTGACAAGCCATGCTGCCCGCAACTTTGCACAGCTGCAACCTCGCGCGCTGCACAGGTAAAAGCTGGATCTCGGCGACGTCCTCTGAACTGCTAGATCGTCGACGGACTATGATTGCCAGTGTGGAACACAACGAATTCCGCCCGCATGTTTCTTCGCTCTTACCGTAAATCCTGGTGGTCAAGGCGAACTGCTGAGATGGAAGCCGCTGCATCGGTTCAAAACTGCCTCAGTTTGTTTTACTTCAGCTAGGTCACCAGTTGCAATCTACGCGGTATCAATCAGACAAGCTGAGGTTATTCGCAAAGAAAATCGCCAACGTACACAGAGCACGTTACTCTTCAAGTTAATTACACAGCACGGACCACCTCGATATTCATAGGTCGGTGCGTGGTTTGTCCCCACAGATCCTTCTACTGAATCGGAGATCCGGAGGGCAATGCAAACTTGGAAACGTCATAAACCTCCCGGTTCTAAAATCCTCCCTCCGACTTTATTCAAAGATGGCGAGAATGTACTTGTTAACGGAATCCCATCGATGTTCACGCAGGTTTGGACCGACGAGATTCTTAACTTATTGTCGTTGTCTTGGTCCACAACAAAGATTCCCGTGAGGAATGCGCGAATTACCGTAGCATTTCTTTAATACTGTTGCATCCAGGATAGCAGACCGGCCCGAGGCTCTAAGCACCACAAGCCTGCCTTGTAAGGTGGCGGCGCGGGTTCGAGCATGCGTAGGATCCAGGTGATCCTCGTAATATCCTTAGCCCATGTGCAACCGGAGGTGTGTGCGCGGCAGCAAAGTGCCGGTACTGTATACCGGCGTACTACTGGTGCCCTTAAAAGATTTCAGTGACTGGGAAGGCGTTTCCAAAAACGAAACAATTCCACTTCGTATAAGTCGTTTGCATCGACCAAGTCTTCACGCTCCGTCAAATTCTCGAGCTCTGACACCTCTATCGGCAAGCAAGACCTGTGATTTCTTTGAACATCCGAGCTCCACTTGCTTCGGAAGACTAATTTAATTTGCAGAACTGTTTACTAAGGAGAGATCAGCCAACATTTTTACGGCCATTTTAAGAAAACCGTACAGTTACACCCCAGATAAAGAGAAGAGATAGAGCATCCTCTCTTCTTCGTTTGCTGTTACTAGCGGCGTTAGCCAAATTTATCCTATTTCATCTTTCCTCTCCAGTTTTGACACCATCAGGTGTTTGTGATTGTGAATTCGGGCTTCTCCCTGGCGACAGGGTCGTGGGCATGGATCACGTCGATAATATCTCTTTGTTAGAGGAGGATTCACAGGCCATGCAAAACACTTTAAACCGCTTGTCGATGGAGGCATCCGAGTTCGGCTTCTACTTCACTCCATGTCAATGCAAAAAGACTGCTCCAGAATTGGCACACTACTGTGCCTGCGCTTGCTATTACTAGTGGCAGACGGTAACAAGTCGATTGTTTTATTTATCTGGAGATGTATATCATGGCTGGGGGCAGTGTTGGAGTGGGGACCCCACAAGGGATTGTCCAGGTTCCCGTAGTTTTCACTGGCACGAAGCCCCTATGGCGTAGTCGCGATGTCAGTTTTCAGGTCCTGAACAGGCTGAACTGTGCCTGCGTCTTGTTGTGCGGCAGTTAGACGAAGACTGTTTGCTCAACAGACAAAACAATTGTCGACTTTTGGCAACAATTTTTGGCCGTCTGGAGATCGTTCGGTTTGTCTGCGTATGTTAAGTAAAATACTAAGTGGAACTATCAGCTTACTGTACACTTAGGTTATCGTGGCAGAATGTTGAACATATGTTGAATTTGTTTGTCTGACCTGTGAACATCACACACACGGCGCCTCGGCTTCATCCACCACGCCAGTATATCTCACGGTACCCAGACATACTTCACTGGCTAGAACGAGTCGTAAAGGTGGCGCAATTTTAGTCAATGCGCTGCACTACGGTACACCTATCAATAAATATGCGTCACTTCACTTTCTTGCCTTCTCTTCGATTAT